TCACCTGACCTATTTTTAGAAGTAATTAGATGCCTTTCTGTTGAAATGTTATATATAAAAATTAAAATAAAGCTGTAACTTTAAAATATAAAATATTAGCAAATCTTATTTTGTCTACAGAAAGAGGAACATTCAGAGTTACTCAAAGGTTTAAATTAGATAATATTAGTATAAAACAAAACATTTCCTTTGTTTCATGTCATCATAACCAGCTCAATAAAGCATCACATAGAAGACTTCAGGGAACTAGTTGAAACAAATAAACAATTCTTTGAATTGCTGCTATCTGTACAATGAATGCTTTTATAGAAATGAAACCAATTTATTACTTTAGGCATCTTCGATGCTCTCACACACATAGGGTCTATTTGGTTTAGTTAGCAAACCTTACTTTACAGATTTACAATAGGTAGAAACTGAAGTAAAGACATTTTATTTGATTAAGAAATTACTGCCAATTCAAAACAATCAGAAGGAAAGCAAAGGCCAATACTTCCACGAACGAATAATGTTAATGGCATATGGTATCTCAGCTCTTTACAGACTGCGCTAAGAAGCACTCAGGAGAACCTGGGCCGTTTTAGAGAAAGGAGGGGCAAGCAGGGGGAGGTAGAACAGAACTTAGCAGGCAGGCAGTAGCAGGAAGCCACAGGTGTTCAAAAGAGAGGATTCCGTGGATAAGGTGGTTTAAAATTCGCGGATCTCATGCAGGGAGAGAGTAGAACAATCCTTACCACAGTCAGGGAAGGGTACATGTGTGGGCAGGAGGGGGAGTAAGAAAGGTTGGTTAATAGATAGAAGGAATAAGTTCTAAAGTTTGATAGCAGAATATGGTGCCTACAGTTAACAATATATTGTGTATTTCAAAATAGCTAGAAGAGAGGACTTGAAATGGTCCCAACACACAGAAATTATAAATGCTTGAGGCAACGGATGTTCTAAATACCCTGACTTGATCATTACATAGTCTATGCATGTGACAAAATACCACATGTACCCCACAAATACATACGAATATTATGTATCAATAAATTTTAAAAAAATAAATAATTAACTGTCTAAAAAAATTCCCTAAGCTGCACCATTTTCAATTAAATTCAATACAGCATACTAGAGATTTGGAAAAAAAATGTTTTGGAAATACTACCTTTTATCTTTCCAGAATAATATGTGT